AGTGCTGGGATTAAAGGCATGCGGCACGGCCACCTGGCTAGCTTGCTTTCTTACACAACACAGCACCATCTGCCGAAGGGTGACATTGACCCCAGTGGGCTGGGCCCTTCCACATCAGTCATTAATTAAGAAAATGTCCCATAGACTTGACTACAAGCAATCTGATAGAGGCATTTTCTCAGTAGAGTTCCTCTTCCCAGATGACTCTATCATGTTCAAGTTGACAAAAAAAAAAAAAAACTACCAAGACAACTGACCCCTTGTCAACTTGACATACTAATACAGCACTATTAAACAGCCTTTCATTTCTTGTTTATTCTCAAGATTTCATATTAATATCAATATCACAATATAAAACGCTCTAACTTTTAAAAGCCCCACAATCTTTAAAAATTCAAATACTCTGAAAGTTTAGTCTCTGGGCTGGAGAGATGGTACAATGTTTAAATGCACTTGAAGAGGTCCTGGGCTCAGTTCTTAATACATCAATGATGTCTCACAACTGTCTGTAACTCCAGCTCCAGAGGATCCAACATCTCCTCTGGCCTCATATGGTTCATATACAAACACTCAGACATGCACTTATATAGATAATGAAATAAATAAATATTTAAGAAGTTCAACCTTTATAACATCTAATGTCTCTCATTAGTGGGTTCCCGTAAAATTAAAAAAGTTAAATAATACTTTCCTCCTACAAGAGGGAAGAACCAGGTGTAGCTCTAAGTTTTCTCTGGTCCCGCCAGGCCCCATGGTCTCACAGCTACTTATAAAATAATCATTCAGAGACTTACTATTAATTACCAATAGTATGGCCTATGGCAGGCTTTTTGATAGCTAGCTCATATCTTAAATTAACCCATTTCTATTAATCTATAAGTTTCCAGGTGGCCATGGCATTACCGGTCTGCTGGCGTCTTGCTCCTTGGGCAGCAGGCTGGCATCTCTCTCTTTATTCTCCTTTCTCCTTTTCCTATCTTTCTTGGATTTTCTTACCTGGCTCCATCCTGCCCTGCCATAGGCCAATGCAGCTTTATTTATTAACCAATCAGAGCAACACATATTCACAGCGTACAGAAAGACATTCCATAGCACTTCCCCTTTCCTGTCTAATCAAAAAGGAAGGTTTTAACTTTAACATAGTAAAATTATATATAACAAACCAGTTATCAAGCAAGAATTATAGTTATAATATCTAGTCTTTATATTTGGCAAAATTAAAAAATATTCTATCATCTATCATATTTTTGTGAGTTTTAAGTTTTATATGTAGCATGAATCTTAAAAGTTCTTATTAATAAAAACAAACCCAAGGCCAGTTATTGGGGTGAATGCTGGAAGATCAGAGAAGCAGAACAAGCCACAGCTACCTCACCTTGCCAGTTCCTCAGCTGATCCTGTTTCCTCAGACTGGAAACCTCTGAGTCCTCATCCAGAATGAATCTCAGCTGAACGGTTGCTCAAAAGCCCAAAAGCTTAACCAGCTAAATGCTTCTAGTTTCTGATCTTTACGCCTTATATATCTTTCTGCTTTCTGCCATCACTCCCTGGGATTAAAGGCTCACTTTTTGGGATTAAAGGCGTTTGTCACCATGCCTGGCTGTTTCCAATGTGTCCTTGAACTCACAGAGATCCAGACAAATTTCTGCCTTTGGAATGCTAGGATTAAAGGTGTGTGCTACCACTGCCTATCCTCTATGTTTAATATTGTGACTGTTCTCTTCTCTGACCCCAGATAAGTTTATTAG